CCGGTGTGGTGCATTAGAAAAACAAAATTTTGGTAATTGTTTTTGCGCTGCAAAACCAGCACCATAAGTGACTAGCGTAGTCACGGCGGAATTGCAGCCCTTTGGCTGGCAAACGCTAACGTGTACAGTGACTTCAGACCTCTTAACAGATTCAATCTTAAGGAAGACCAAAGGGTTGATTTAAAATTGTGCAGGGACTGTCGACGGAAAAGCAACGACATCCGGATGACAGTGATGAAATGGAGTGAGGAGTAAAGGAGTCTAGAGGTCTTCTGCATGGGTCAAGGGCTCAAGGCTTACCCAATAGAAGAGGGCAATGAGGTCAGTTTGTTTGATTGGACAGTAAGCCTCTGGAGTTCAGGAAGGTTACCTGCGGGGCAAAAAAACGCCACGAAATTTATGATTAGCACAGGAGAGAAGGAAGAATGGGGTTGCAGACGGTTCACATATCGTTCCGATGAGTAGTCAATTCAATTGCTTTCTACGCAGCGCAGTGAGTGCACACCTAACGGGCTGACATTTCTGACATTTTTACAGACTATAATTTTTACACGTCAGAAAGAAATTCATCCAAAAATCGGCATTCTGGCGTTACTGAAACGTATGATAGCCAATATTACAACTACACTTCAATCAGGAATCAAAAATACATTGCAGAATTTCGGTTAAAATGTTTATGAGATAAGGAATCTACTGTGTATGAACCGAGTTGTCCTCACAGTGTCGTGGTACATGCCGTGGGGACCAGTTTGTGTGTCAGAGATGCGTACAGAAGATATTAGCCCCGAAGAAGAATATGCGATCGCTGGAACAATTGTATTTTTCTGACGTTCGGATTCTGTCGAAAATCCTTAATCATAGGTAAGCATAGGATAGCGTGATACATGCACAGATTATGATGATACGTACACACATTGAACGGTATTTGTAGTTCGTAGCGGTCAGCCGCCTGTCCACCCCACTTGGAGTTGCGCACAGGCCACAAGCGACCCTCAGGCACCGGGTCATGAGACTGAAAGACCCACTGCTCCGGTTGGAAACGGCTGGAGTCGTTTACCGGATCTGGTGCAGTTGTGAACAAAGCAACAACTTCTGAGAAATCCGGAAGATCACTTCGAACGCGAATGGCCGAGCACGCAGCGGCGGTGACTAGGAGGAAAGACAATAACTCCCGGGTTGCAGCTCACTCGACGAGACCCGGTCATATTTTCAAGTTTGACGGGGCCGAAATCTTCGCAAGAGGTCACAACTGCGTGAGCCGCGAGCTGCTCGAGTCATGCTTCTCAGGTCCACAGTCCATCAAGCGCAACGATTTGCCGTTCCCATACTGAGACATTGCCTGGGCAAGAGAATCAGTCATATGGGAAGGGCCGGACCCAGCAACAACTTTGACAACAGCGAGCATAATTTTTGCGCAATTATCAGGCTCGCATCCGACACGGACATCGAAGTCACGACAATTAATGAGTCGAACGCGAAGTGTCAAGCCATCATCGCACCAATTAAGACCCCAAGTAGTGGTTACTGCGGCTGATAATCATAGAAGGCGTGCAGACGACTGCTACGAACTATAATACTGTACAATCTGTGTATGTATCATCATAATCTGCGCGTGCTTCACACTATCCTGCGGTTACCCATGATCAAGCATTCTTGACAGAATCCGAAATGCCAGAAAAAAATGAAATCTTTTTCCAGTGATCGCACATCTTCTTCTGAACTGCTTCCTGGAACTCGTATATTCGCTTCTATCGGAGAGATTTTAGACCTTGTCAGTCACAACATCTGAGCCCACCTCCAGTCGTCTTGATAGTGTCTCGCCATTGGAGAGACTGCGGTAGCCGTCACATAATTCTGTCCCCCTATAACCTAGATCACGCGCTGAGCTCACTCCGTGGAACATACGGCGGACGCCTTAGACTGTGACGCTGGCACTGTCAGCTACCTTGATTTATCTATCGACGTAACAGTTGGTAAACCTCTGACTACAGCCTATTTGTTTACGTGTTTCTGTCATTGTGACGGCATATGCACTTACGGTCGCCTCTGGAAGCGCAAAAACCACATTGTAATAGGATGACTCAAATAGAGAGAGAGA